TTAAACCCATGGGGACCCTTCCCTTTGGTCCCTCTCCATGCTCCAGGGAATGCACTGGCTCAGGAAAATGGGCATTTTCTCCTAATGTTGCTCTTCCATTAGCTCCAGAGGTGGATGGGGCACTATCCCTGCTGCCTGGGAAAGCTGCTTCCCTCTCCTTTAGCTCTGGGAAGATTCCCATCTCCACACCACAGCCCTGGGGTTTGGTGTGTGCTCTAAACTTCAACAGGGGGTTGGAACTAGATGGTCTTTGAGGACCCTTCCAACCCAGAGCATTCCCTGATCCTGTGATCCCAGCCCACCCAACCCCCCTGATCCCCACGAAGGGCTGCTCTGACCATGCCTGGTGGGATTGCAGGATGCTCCTTCTCCAAAGGCACCAGTCACAGGAGGGGGGTGCATGTCCTGTTATTCCACCTTTCTGATCCCTCCTGCCTGGCCAAGGCTCCCATTCCACTGATGGGACACCTTCTTTTTGCCTCCTGTGCTCGGTTCCCTCCTCGAGGAGCGGTGACAACACGTGAGGTGAATTGTACCCTCCTCCAGGGATAAATGGGGACACTTGGGGCAGCACTTCCAAACTGACAAATCCCAGTGTGTTTGGCTGTCCCTGTAAACTGGGCTAAGAAGCCCAAATGGAACGGACCTGGTTGTGTTTTGCTGCTGCTGGAGCCGTTTGGAGGCATCAGGAGGTTTTGCAGAGGGAATGCTGAGATGGATGTGGGGGTGTCCTGCTTGTCCTTGCTGTCCCTGGGCATCACAGCCCCCTTTATCCCAATATCCTTAAAGGGTTTGGGATCAGAAGCGGAGCCTCCCATGCCGTGGGGAGGGTTTGCAAGGGAGATGCTTGGACAGGGAGATTTTTAATTAGGATTTTTAATAGGGAAATGCAGTGCTCGGGCTCGTTTTTATGCTGAATTTGACTAGAAGTAAGAAATGCTGGAGTTTCCATGACCTTTTATATTTTTTAAAAACATTTAAAAAATCAGGGATCTGGGCAATTCACGCCATGAGGGAGCATGTCAGGAGGCCATGGAGCGGTCCATGTGCTCTGTTTTTAGGATGGGGAGAAAAGGAATCAACCCTTTGCTGTGTGCAAAGGCAAAACCTTTTATAAGGTCAGGGCAGCAGCAGGATTTTATGGAAGTCCTCTCCTCTTTGTGTTGCCTTCCCAATTTTTTTTTTTTTTTTTTTTGGTGCTGTGTTTTCCCTTTGTTCCTGCTCCCAGTACCTGCACAGCCTCTTGCCCACGAACCTTCTGATCCCTCTCCAGAAAAAATCAGGGGTTTCCAAGCCCTCTGGAGCGCAGGCTCCGTGTCTGATGCCGGGGAGAGGCAGACATCCAGGAGAACGTGGCAACAGGACAAGGCTGGGACAGACACCCTGCAAATGTTGGAAGGATTAGTGCGTGCACAGGTTGAGGTGTTGCTTTGGATGCTTCCTGACACATCCAAGCTGCTGGTGGGGCCAAATTCATTCCTGAAAACATCTCCTCGCTCGCTGTGCCCTCGTTGGGTCGGGTTGGTGTGAGGCTGGATGGGATGCAGGTGGCTGATCCCGAAGTTTTCCTCCTGGAAGGGAGGAATGCAATGCTCCCTCCCCTCTTTGCTGTGCTGGTGTGCCGGGTGGGAGCGAGGACCCTGAAAATCAGGGATGGCAAAAGGCAGGGAGTGATTCTGGTGCTCGGAGTGGGAAGGCTGGGCTGGCACCAGGGAGGGTAACCCCACGGAAAACATCATCCCTTTCCATCCCAACCAGGAAACTAAGCCTATTCCACGCATGGAAAACCCGTGTGGGAGCTCAGTGAATTCCCTTGAATTCCCTCTCCTCCTTGCTGTGGTTTAAGGACGGGACTGGGGGACTCTCCAGCTGGGACTAGGGGCAGCTTGCTGTCACATGGAGCTGGGGCTGAGACACTGAGAAGGAATTTTCTGCCTTAGGAAAACCGTAAATCTTTAAATATCCTTTTTCCACGGCGAGGCAGATTCGGAAGGTTCCAGCCAGGCTCGCTGGGTGGTGGTGTCTCCCTCAGTGCAGGGTGAGCCTGTGTGTGCAGCGTAAATAAATGCCCTTGGACAGACCAAATCGCCAGATTTGGCTCTTTTGGGAGGCATCGCAGTGTGAAAAAACTTGGGGGCTCTTTCCAACATCCCCAAAAAGTCCTGGCACTGCGGGGAGTCCCCGTGGCCGAGCGCCCGCCACGCTGCGCCTGGGCGCTGACAAAGCTGAGCATCCCCTTGGAGATGATTTTTGCCTCTTGGCAGCACTGGGACGACTCTTTTTTTGAATTATTTTTGCCCCGATTGCCGCCGGCTCTGCCCGGTGTGGCTCCCGCAGCCGAGGCGCTCGGCTCGGCCTCACTAGAGGGCGCAGGAATTGTAGGCTGAGCGAACGCGCGGGGGGTTCGTCGGGGAAAGTTGGCTGCCTCTCCCTCCTTTTTAATCAACTGGAAAGATGCAGGGTTGAACTGGAGGTGACTGGAAGGGGATCCAGACTTGTGTCTGGCCGGGGAAGGATCTGCTGACATGTGGGATTAGGCGGCGTGGAGCGCGGCGGCGGCGAGCGGGCGGCACGTCGAGCGTGGCCGGGAGCTGCGGGCTCGGGCAGCCAGCTGTGGGGTGCAGCCAGCTGGAGGAGCCTCATGGCAAGAGGAGAGAGCTCGGAAAAGAGCAAGAAAAGAGGGGAAAATCCGCCTCAGCCTCCCGGCGTGAAATGCTTCCCCCCTTTTTCAGGCTGGGCAGGTGTTGTGTTGACCTCTGCAGGGGCCCGGTGTTCTCTTCCTGAGGGTCCTCTGCTCCGTGTCCTCGCTGCACATCCATCCTTGGGGCAAGACTCTTTCCTCTTCTGAGGGTCTGGAGGGTGTGGATCCATCCCTGGGATGGTTTCCCTACACCACGGCAGCAGTTTTGCAGATTGGGACCAGAGGCTTGTTGTCCTTTTTTTTTTTCAGGGTGCAGGGGGTCCCCGAGCACTTTGCCTGTGGCAGAGCCAGGAAGGACGAGGTCAGGAACCCCAAGGGCCACCTCCATCGGGCTGGTGGCTCCACTGCAGCCTTGGCACTCCCGGCGCAGAGGCTGCTCCCTCTTTAACTGGGGAAACTGAGTCACGGGAAGCATTTGGAGGAGTGGGGGGTGATTCACTGGGAGCCTCTGCCAGCTGGATGGGGAGATACCCATGCCCTTCCACCAGCCCCTCTCAGCTACTCTGTCCCTGCTCTCCAAATCCCGGTGTTCCTGCTCACCTCCTCCAGCATCCATCCCTTTCCCAGCTGCCTTCCCCCCCCCCCAGGACGGAGCGGCTCCGCTTCGGCACCTTCCAGCTCTCCTTTCCCGAGCGGCTGCTTTTTCCAGCGCCTGAGCCCGAGCAGCGCTGCCCTTTCCAGGCTTTAAGAGCAGCCGGCGGAGCGCAGGGAGGCGGCAGCGGCCGCCCCGTCTGGCGGCCTCGCCGTGCTCTCGCCGCCCCGCTGTTCATTCACTCATTCATTCACTGCCGCTCTCCGTTCATTCATGCCTTGGCTCGGCGTGGCCAGCCGGGCACGGCATCTTGCCTGCAGCCTCTCGGGCTCCTCGAGTTTTTCCTCCCCGCGCCGGCCCCGGTCCGCCGGGATTTCCACGGGGAGTTCTCCTCGGGGCTCAGCCCGAGCCCGGAGCGCTGCGAGGCGGCTCCGGCGGAGGCTCCGGCGCGGGGCTGCGAGGGGACAGGGCTGTTATTTCAGCAAACAAACTCCCCGTGAACGCTGTGCATTTAGCAATGAGGGGTCGCAGCCAGGAAAATATTACCTTTCCCTTTGAGTGCTGACTGTGGAGGAAATTCTCACATTTACAGCTCCGGCGAGCCCGACGCTCATGGAAAAGAGGGGGCGGCTTTGATTTCGCTCCCCTCGTCGGGTCGATAACTTTGCGGCCCCCCCACCTCGCCTTGAGCCCCCTCCTCCTTTCCCCTCCACGCTCTCCGGGGGACCCGGCCACCGGTGGAGGCTCCGGCGGCTCGCGGCTCCCTCCTGGAATCCTGGTTTAATTGGATTTTCCCGGAGGCCTGGCGTGTGGCGCTGCGTGTGCGTCCTGCCCCGTGTGTGTGTGTCTGTGTCTGTGTGCGAGTGTGGAGGTTAACAAAAACCAAACAAACAGCACTTTTTTTTTTTCCCCCCCTCCGGTGCTCTCCGGGAGGGATGCGGCGGGAATGCCGATGAAAGCGCGTGCTGCGGGAAAGGGACATTCCTGGCATTGCTGAGCTCCTCGTGCAAACGCGTGGGCCCGGGCCCAAATTGGAGGAATTGGAGGAAGGAGCCGTGAGCGTCGGGGACCTGGGGAGGCCCGTTGCTGCTCAGTGTTTACTCGCAGAGCTTAAATTAATAGTGTCTGCTGACATCAGGGGTTCTTTTTCTCCTCGGATTCCCAAGGAGACGGGCCGGGTGCGAGCGCAGCCTCTGCCTACGTGCACGGCTCTCCTCCCTGCCTGAGCCCCGCTCTGAGTTCAGCCCGATCTCACAGGGATCCCAAAAGCTGCAGAATAATTAGTTTTCACTGATTTGATATCCATTAATAAGGCCTGTGAGGGGTGGGAGGAATCAATGCCTGTGTTTGTGTGTGTGGGTGCACAACCGTGTCAGACAGGAGGATCCCTGAGGGAACAGATGTTTTAGTAGCACTCAGATCATGGGATGAATGTCACTGGGATCTGGGGGACCTGGAGCTGTGGGAAAACCAGCTCTGTCCCTCCGGTTTTAACTCCCATCTCTGGTTTGCTCCATTGTTGCCCATCTCTTGCAAGGGTTGTGGTGAGGGAGGATCTCTGGTGGATTTGGGCAGCTGATGTTTCTCCATGGACCCTCTCTGGCAGATATTTTTTTTTTTTTTTCCTGGGAATTGGCGATTCTGGATGATGATTTCTGGCTGATGACAAGCCTTCTCAGCACAGGGCACTTCTTGTGGCTCCCGTTTTACACTGGAATAACCTGCTGGGTCGCTGCAAAAACCCTCTCCTCGCTCTCTCTTCCGCAGGTGTTCTCCAAAATCTTCAGCCACGAGGCGCTGGAGAGTTACCTCCCCAAGATCCAGCTGGTGATCAAGGACACCCTGCGTGCCTGGAGCAGCAACCCCGAGTGCATCAACGTGTACCACGAGGCGCAGAAGCTGACGTTCCGCATGGCCATCCGCGTCCTGCTGGGCTTCCGCATCCCCGACGAGGAGCTCGGCCGCCTCTTCGAGGTCTACCAGCAGTTCGTGGAGAACGTCTTCTCCTTGCCCGTGGACCTGCCCTTCAGCGGCTACAGGAGGGTGAGAGATTGGGGCTGGGCCCTCCACCGGTCTGGGGTTAACGGGGTGGTGGTTCAGCCGCGCCTCTGCAGGTTCTCCTCGCCCTCTGGCCTCTGGGAATGAGTTCGTTTTGGGTTACAAATCCTGGTCTGGTGGAGAAGCGAGGGAAAGATCCATCCATCGCGTGGTTGGTTGCAGAACACAATCAGGGCTTGCCCAAATTTATTGCGTATTTTTTCCTCACTCTGCAATTTTCCTGTATTTTTGCCGTTTTTGGGACCCTTCTCCTTTTAATGCTCCCCTGTCCCTGAAGCCAAACAGGTCAGCAGACCCTCCAAATCCAAGAACCATTCTAGTTTTTTGGATCAATGATGCAGAATGAAAACATACCAAAAATCACAGAAGAAAACCCCCAAACCCTATTTTTTTTTTTCCCATGGGGAATTTTGGCAGCAGAAATTCAGATTTGTAATATTGCTGCAATTTGTTTTTTTTTTCATCCATATTATTTGGCCACGTGGATGAGCCCAAGCACTTGCAGCCCTGAAGCCCTTTGCAGGAGCAGGTTAACCCCCAGCGCAGCTGCACTTCCACAGGAACTGCTTTACTGAGACCAGGTGATAAAACTCCTTTGGGAAGACCAATTATGCTCCTGGGAAGAGGATTCTTTGGGGTGAATTGGCTTCCCTTTGAGGGTCGATTTTCCCAGGGGCTGCCCCGCATGCCAGGGCGAGCTGGGGGCCTGTGAACTGGTGCAGCACTGGGGCTCCCACAGCAGACCTGCCGTTTACACCTAGGTGCTGATTGCTCCTGCCTGTAATCTCAGCTCCTGGGGCTTTCGCTCCCCCTGCCCAGGGAAACGACTCCAGCCTCTTTATGCCCCTCTTTGAGCACCTGCAATAGTGTTTTTATTGCTCGGCCGTGTTGTCCTGGGGATGGTGGTGGTGGTGGTGTCTGATGGTTTCCTGCCCCACAGGGGATCCGGGCACGGGAGACGCTGCAGAAGGGGCTGGAAAAAGCCATCCAGGAGAAACTGCAGAACACGCAGGGCAAGGACTACGCTGATGCCTTGGACATCCTGATAGAGAGCGGGAAAGAGCACGGCAAGGAGTTAACCATGCAGGAGCTGAAGGTGAAAATCTCCCCGTGGGCACCTTGCTGCGCTCAGGGGCTCCCCAGAGAGCAAGGCTGAGCTGCTCCAGGGAGGAATTTTTGGGGCAGAGCTGGGACGATCAGGGGATCGCAGTGGGTTGGTGGAGCTGCAGGTGAATCCTGGTCTGGTGGATTATGGTGCCAACAAACCAGCTGTTACATTGATTTGCAGGTTGCAGCCCTTCCTAGAAAGCAGGATCACTGAGGGATCACAGAGGTTGGAAAAGACCTCTGAGGTCATCAAGTCCAACCTGTGACCAAACACTCCCATCCCCACTAAAGCAATATCACCAACTGGTTTGGCTTTTGAACACTTCCAGGGATGGTGACTCCACCACCGCCCTGGGCAGCCTGTTCCAGTGCTTGCCTACTCCTCCAGTGAAGAAATTTTTCCTGACATCCAGCCTGAACCTCTCCTGGCACAGCTGAAGCTTTCAGCCCTGAGCAGCTTCATCCCTTGTCCCGTCCACTTCCACGGTGCCACCTTTGCAGGGCACGTGAGACCTCAGCAGGTTGTTACCTGCAGCAGGGCCATGGCATAAATTGTCCATCATGTCCTGTCAAGATCCACCCCCAGGGCTTTTTCTCCTGCCTTTCTGCTCCTCACCATCCTCTGAGGCTTTGTGGGAAGCTTCCCAGGGTGGTTTTCCCAGTCCTGGCGCTGTACAAGGAGCGATCTTGCAGTTAGACATGACCTAGCTGTGGCTGCCTCTAGATCCCTGGAAGTGTCCAAGGCTGGGTTGGACGTGGCTTGGAGCAACCTGGGCTGGTGGGAGGTGTCCCTGCCCATGGCAGGGGGTTGGAATGAGATGATCTTTAAGGTCCTTTCCTACCCAAACCATTTATGGTTCATTGCCCAGGCTGGAGAGCTGTTGGGTATTAAAATGCCCCGTGGCAGCCTCTGTACCTGTCCCTGACATTCCATGGATCTGTCCATGCCCTGGCTCTTACCCTGGCTCTTCCCTTGCCTCCCAGGATGGCACCCTGGAGCTGATCTTCGCCGCCTACGCCACCACGGCCAGCGCCAGCACCTCCCTGATCATGCAGCTCCTCAAACACCCCCGAGTGCTGGAGAAGCTGCGGGAGGAGCTGAGGAGCAAAGGGATCCTCCACAACGGCTGCATCTGCGAGGGCTCCCTGCGGCTGGACAACATCAGCAGCCTCCACTACCTGGACTGTGTCATCAAGGAGGTGCTTCGGCTCTTCACCCCCATCTCCGGCGGGTACCGGACGGTGCTGCAGACCTTCGAGCTGGATGTGAGTGCTGAGGGAGAGCAGGGCCAGGACTGAACTCTGCTCTGGCTGGGGGGAGCAGGGACAGCCCCCAGGGAATGGCTGGAGCTGTGTCAGGGCAGGCTCAGGGTGGATCTCAGCAGAAGGTTCTTCCCCCAGAGGGTGGTTGGCACTGCCCAGGCTCCCCAGGGCAGTGGGCACAGCCCCAAGGCTGCCAGAGCTGCAGGAGGGTTGGGATGATCCTCTGGGTCACAGGGGGGGATTGTTGGGGCTGGGCCTGTGCAGGGCTGAGGGTTGGACTGGATGGTCCTTGGGGGTCCCTTCCAACTCAGCATATCGTGGGATTGTGGGATCCCTCTGGGGTGAAGCTGCACTGTGAACTCCCCAAACCAGCCTTTTACTTGTCGCTGGAAATCTTGCTTGAGCCTGGCTTAGCTGAGACCTCAGAGAGGATAAATTAGGCCCTGCTGGTGATGGGAGAGGGATTTGCCCTGGATTCCTCAGGAATCTGGCGCATGGCAGGGATGGAATGCACTGGAGCTGTCGAAGAGGAGACGGGTGTGAGGCTTCAGAGCTCGACCCGTGACAGTGCTGGACGCCAAAACCCGAGCTGGGGTGTGACAAGGGAAAGGTTTACTGCAAAGGGCATCTCCAGGCTGCTGGATGACAGGGGGATTACTCACCACCATGGCTGGAATTTCCTACCAGCAAAACAAAATCTTCAGGCTGGGCTCGTCGCTGTAAATCCTCCCTAACGCAGCGATTTGAGTCAGAGACCTCTCAAAGCGCTCAGGGGAGGATAAATCCGCCCCATTTCTCATCACCCAGGCCCTGACGTGCGTGTTGGGTGCGTGGGGCTGACAGGCAGCGCTGTGTGGGATGCTCTGGGAGGGCTGCTCGGCACGTGGGGATGTGGGAGAAGCTGCTTCCCTCTGCCTGGAGGCACCCCAGGGTTCCTGGTAGGAGACTCCTGCCAGTGACCACAAAGCAGTAGATCATCCTGTGGGTCCCTGGGATAAAGGGAGGAGTAAATCCAGGATTCTCATCCCACCTCCAAGCCCTTTGTGCTGTGCTCTCTGGTTTTCCTTTAAATCTGCACCACGTTGGAGTCATGAACCCAAAGGAAGTGGGAATAAGCAGGGAAAACCGGGGAGGCTCTGGCACAGGTTCCCAATATCCAACCTGAACCTCTCCTGGCACAACTGAAGCTTTCAGCCCTGAGCAGCTTTATCCCTTACCCCATCCATTTCCACGATGCTTCCTTTGCAGGGCACGTGGGTTGTTACCTGCAGCAGGGCTGTGGCATAAATTATCCATCATGTGCTGTCAGGAGCCATTCCCAGGGCTTTTCCTCCTGCCTTTCTGCCCCTCAGCATCCTCTGAGGCTCTGTGGGAAGCTTCCCATGGCGGCTGTCCGAGCCCAAGGAGTGATCTTGCAGTTAGACATGACCAAGCTGTGGCTGCCCCTGGATCTCTGGAAGTGTCCTAGGCCAGGCTGGACGGGGCTTGGAGCAACCTGGGCTGGTGGAAGGTGTCCCTGCCCCTGGCAGGGGGTGGAACTGGATGATCTTTGAGGTCCCTTCTAACCCAGACCATTCCATGATTCTGTGCCTGACCGTACGAAAACAAAGCGCCTTTATCTTGCCCTCTGTGCTGACGGTAGGTTTTGACCCACTCTGCTTTTCTCTCCACCCTTTCCCGCCTCTCCCCAGGGTTTCCAGATCCCCAAAGGCTGGAGTGTGATGTACAGCATCCGGGACACCCACGACACCGCCCCGGTCTTCAAGGACGTGGACGTGTTCGACCCCGAGCGCTTCGAGCAGGGCCGGAGCGAAGACAAGGACGGCAGGTTCCACTACCTCCCCTTCGGAGGAGGAGTACGGACCTGTCTGGGGAAGCACCTGGCCAAGCTTTTCCTCAAGACCCTGGCCATCGAGCTAGCCAGCACCAGCCGCTTCGAGCTCGCCACCAGGACTTTCCCCAAAATCACCCTGGTGCCCGTGATCCACCCGGTGGACGGACTCAAGGTCAAGTTCTTCGGACTGGATTCCAACCAGAACGAGATCCTGGCGGGGACGGACGCCATGCTGGGGGCCACCGTGTAGAGCCCACGCCGGCGGCGCCAGGGACGGAGGGGTGGGGTTGGGGGCGAGGGGGTGGACAGGAGGGGAGGAGAGAAGGGCCAAGGAGCTTCTCCAGGACGTGGAGCCTGCGTGGATCGGGACGTTCCCCCCTTCCCCGCCGGGGGAGCCGCCGAAAGCCTTCTGCTCTCCCCGCGGGGGGCGCGGAGAAGGCTCCGGGG